CTTTCCTGCAGCTCAGTGCAAATTGATTCATAACCTTACAAATTTCTGTGAAGGATGAGAATTGTTTGGCCCACTACTGTTTATTCACAAGCCAGATGCTGCCTGGATCATAAACAGCTGCTCAGTAGTAAACCTAGCCACAATCAATCAGATTCTCCTCAAAGGAAACCAAGCACCAAGTGTGGTTATAAATCTTCCCTATCCCATTAGGAGGGGCCTGTCCAAGTCATTCACCTATTCCAAGTAATAGTTCCTTAAGCCTGATGTCAGAAGTGTTTAATTTCAGCTGTCTGGAGTAGCCTTCTCTGCTTCTCAGATATGTGTTCTTGGAGCAATTAAACATGTGCTTTGCACGAGAAATAGGTCTAGTCCCCAAGAGAGTAGCCCCTCAACAAACTATTTGTGATAATGGCCTCAGAAACCTGAAGGAAAATAAGCCTTTTGCAGGCTGCTGTCTCTCAAGAACCATTTCCAATTCATGCACAGCCTTTAATGGAGATTAATGGTTTTTTCTTTTTGTTTTTTTTTTTTTTAAACAGTGAAATCATATAGATTCCCAATAATCCAACTTATGTTAAATACTGCATGTTTTGATAGTACAATGCATTGCTCAAGTTTGATATCATACCACAGCAACAGCACCCCAAACAGAAAATCGCAATGAGGCTCACACAGCCTGGAATGCTGCAACCCTGATTTCAGAATGAATCGGATTATAAAGTGTGGGGGTGGGGAGGGAAGGAACCCACGTTCAATCTTTAGTACTATGCAATTTAAAAAAAAAAAGTCTCACACACAAATAGAAGTCAGCTACTGACCAAAACCAAACACAAGTCAGCTGTGGTAGGCAACAGCAAACGTGAACCCACAAGACAAAGTATTATCTGCACTGTGACACAGCCCAGCCCACCGTGCCACGCACTGTATAAAGTGCATTTCTGATAACACTCTATATTCAGATGTTGAGCAGTATCTATGTGCTCTACAGGAAGACAGATTATCTATAGCAATCAAGCCATCCTCTGATTCGTCAAACAGCTAGGTCTCAGAACCTAACACAAACACAACAACAAAACCTGCCCAAAACAACACAACAAAACAAGTCTGCATTTTAAAAAACCTCAATACATAAGTCTTTGCTAAGCAGTGAAGTTAAAAGCAAATAAGATTCTACAGCACTAACCACAACATTGAAATACTGCATCACTCCAAGCTTTTCCTGTAATGTTCACAGGCCCTGCACTGAAATACTGACCTTCCACAAGGGTGCTGACTGCCATCAAGGCATCCTCTTGCACACCCCCTGATCCAGCCGTGCTCTGGAACATTCTCAACAGAGAAGCCATAACCACGTCAGAGATCTGCAAAGCATCTTGATGCTGCACTTTCCGAAGAACATTCTAAGTTTGGGGGAGGAGGGGGAAAAGAAAAAAAAAAAAAAAGAGGGAGAGAGAGAGAGAGATTGTAACAGATGACTCCTCAAACACACTGGGCTAAATTATTCGCTTCCATCTCCCACACTAGTTCAGAACACTTTATCAAATCCATACTGTTCTTTAATAAAGCACAACTATTGCTTTGAGCTCCATTGCTGAAAATGCTTTGTCAGTGCAACTGTAGAATGCTATTCAGTTTTTTCCTATTCTCAAATTTTGCAGCTGTAGAACAAGCAGATTTTACCTTCCCCACTGTATATTCTCTGAACATTTCATTTAGATCTGGTATTAAGTTTGGCTGTTCTAAATCTGGCCTTTTTAACAAGACCCTTTTCACATTGTAACCGTGACAGCAATGTGTTTACTTCTGATACTCAATTGTAATTGAACTTCACTAGTAGCCCCAAGAAGAAAATTGGTCTATATAATACTGATATTACATTTGTAGTTCTCTGGTTAGTCATGACCCATATTTAACCCAGTTACAATAAATGTAAGATTCCAGTAAGTGTGATATTCAAATTGATAGTATATCTTAAAGAGAGAAAAAAGTGGCAATTCAATCAGTGCTACTAGCACTAAACTTGATTTTCTGCAGGTGAATTAAGGTAAATATAAAGGGATCGTTAATCTGCTGCTGAGAGTAGAGTGCCGTGGCCCCCCCCCACCCCACAATTCTGTTGGAGGAAAAAGAGGAAGAAGGAAGAGGGGAGGGAAGAAAATCTGACCATCAGCTTCCATAAATTAAAACTTGATAGTTCAATGACCCTGAGTTTCAGAGAGCCCTAGGTCACGACACTTGCTTTTGAGCATAAAGGTTTAAATTACTTCAGTAGTGGACTAACGGGAATGGGAACCCATAACTAACAGATAACAGGAAGGCAAAAAAGTTTAAGCAAGATGTACATTCAGGAACCCTGTTTTTATTTACATGTATATTAGCAATCAACCATGCATCTGGGAATACATAAGACCACTAAATCTTCTGACTGTTGCATGGAACTATTAATGCTGAATCTAGGTCTCCAGCAGTGTTTGAAAGTGGTGCATTGGAGCTTCTAATATGCTAGGAATGACCCCACAGTAACACTATCCCTTTTACAGCACAAACTGCTGGAAGGGTGCAATATCAGATTGTGTGATCTGAGGAAATCCTTTGCAGTCTGAGTGGCTTAGAAAAAAAATGGTAGTTTTCAGTGGCCTTTATAAGCAACTGAAATAAGCTAATGTTTGGAAACAAGTGAGCTGTTCTTTACCAAGTGTTTCATTCTGAGGACACATTGTATTTTTATTAGTGAAAGTTTGAGACAGACCCAAACTCTAACCTTAAGCTGAAGACTAACAAATGAAAGGTGTGAGGAATTTCTTAAGTGTGTGCTTACAAAGCGGTCGTTCAGTCTTTCCCACACCATGACAGCCAGTGGGAAATTAAACAGCTTAGAGGGAAAAGTGTCCATGTTAATATGTTTTTATTTCATGAAATTAAGAAAATCTCTTTATATTGGACACAAATTGTAAAAATCTCCATCTTTCATAAAGCTTTATTACTCCTCTTTTCCTGCATATTAACTTGGATGTAAGAAGTCAATTTCATCCAAATTCAAACAACAAAATGTGTTCCCTTGGGTGAAGAAATGTGTGCATCTTCACAGCTGAGTTACAGTTGGTAACTAACAGTGATTTACCTGCAGAGTAGCACAAAGCAGAGACTGAAGATCATTGAACTGGATTCTGTCTGATGTACTCTGGATATGAGACTGAAAGAGAATAAAACCAGATTCTTTTACCATTAGAAAGCTCTCTGCTGTTGCAGCACAGCTATAAATCAGGCTATGATCATCCATCCTATGACCAGAAAGAATTCAGCTTTAAGCTTTTCAGCACATACCTGCTATATAAAAACAGAAAAACCCACTTGGCTAGACAGAAGTCAGAGCACAACAAAACAAAATGTTTATAGTTGCTCTGTATCCTTAAATCACAACAGAACACTTGCCCTTTACTCACCTCCATCTGCAGCACCTGCTGCAGTCTCTCCATGATGACCAAGGTTGTCTTCTGGACAGCAGGGTAACAGTCCTTGGCACTGTTTTTTACTATTTCCATCAGAGCTTCATATGCAGCACTCCTCAGGTTATTCTGGTGTCCATCAGGCCTATAAAGTAAGAGAATAAATTTATTTTTGGCTCCCAAGTTTTATGCTTGCTTAGTAACAGACCGTTTCTGACCAAATCACTATTAGTTAAATCCCAGCGTTACAGCAGAAGCTGAACATTCATACCACTGATTAGTGAACAAAAGGGCTGGAAAGCAGGCTCAAATCTTTGATGTTCCATTTGAATAGCTTTTATAAATTGTGTTAATAGAAGATGCTGGAAGTCCTTTATTTAGTCACAGACAGCACTACAGCAAGCTACCATGCACCACACTGTATGCCCCTATCTTGACCTCAAGAAGTAAAACAGTTCAGTTCTTCACCAATTCTAGGGCTATCTACAGAGTGTGTCAAACAGTGACAATTTGGAAACATTGCTGATACAAGGTGCTGTAAGATGGACTAATTTGGTCGGCATGATCAGCAATCTTTGACAAACTTTTCATCAGAACTGAGCCAAGCTGGCCAAAAATTTGGATTTTAGATTATCCAGCAAACGCAGCATTTAGAAAACATGGCCAGTCTTGTGAACCAACACCGTAATGGGGACTAAACAGACCAGGGTTTGATTCTTCAGTTAGTCAGATTTAAGTCACTTTACAAATTTCTGTAAAATGCTTCCTTTGCTGTCTACTTTAGACTGCAAGCCATGCACGGTAGTGATAACTTTACTGTATGTACAGTGTCTGGGATGACATTGTATATTTGTTAAAGAACATAGACATCCCATTGTATGTCAAGTGGACTAGAGATATACTATGGGGAGGAGTCACACAGCAGTCTGAGACTTATTTTCTGGTTGTAGTTTTGATTTAGTGGCCCTCTAGATGATGCCTCAAAATAGTGTGCAATCTCCGCAGTCTTAATGAAGCTTCCATCAAAGCACTGGTGGAGAGAATAAGTCTGGAGAAAACCTTAAGCAATATATCAGTAAGGATGAACATGGCCTAAATCTGGAGAAATCTTTGTGTGGAAGGTTATTTTTGTAAGACTTGAGTATATATCACTGCATGAGGACACATTGATGCCTTTTAAAGCATCACTTCACATCAAACTGTGGGAAGCAAAAGAACTTGCCATTTTAAGTGGTAAAAAGTGTTTCTGCAGACATTTATGTCAGCCAATTTAAGGGTACCTGTCTGTGGTCTCCAAAAGTTTCTGAACTATTAGCTCAAATGAGGAGGATAAACAGTAGGTTGCTGGCTCTTCCTGATCATCAGCTACATCTGCAGCTTCATAGGCAGCTTCAGCCAGGCTTGAGAAGGCCTAAAATACAGAACAGATCACAGTCTCTATAATGAAGAGAGTCTCCCATCATGGGCAAACTAGCCCAACACATACCCTTGAACTGACCAGACTACACAAGTTTATTATTTCAACTGCACCACTCATCAGCCTATGTACCAATTTCCCTGAGAGTTTTTAGTAGGTTTCACCAGTTGAGGAAAGAAGTGTGCCAAAACCCACCCCTAAAAGCTGGGAAAGAG